AAAATTTAATTTTTTTGTGAATTATTCAAGAGAAATCAGGATGGAAAATAGGATTTTAGGGATTTTAACTCACCACCTTGTTTTTTGGCTTTTTCCTTGAGTTTTTTCAGTTTGATCTCTTCCAAGGTTTTGATTCCAAAATTTAAGTTGTCATCTAAAAAGCACAAAAAATTCAGGAAAATTTGAGGTGAATCCATCCAATGCTTTGGCTTTATTTGAGGAATATTTGGTCTTATTTTAGGAAATTTTTTGTTTGTATTTTAGGAATATTTTGCTTTTATTTTAGGAATATTTTGGTTTTATTTTAGGAATATATTTGGTTTTTATTTCAGGAATATTTTGATTTTATTTGAGGAATATTTTGCTTTTATTTTAGGACTACTTTGCTCTTAATTTAGGAATATTTTGGTCTAATTTTAGGAATACTTTATTTTTATTCTAGGAATATTTTGTTTTAATTTTAGGAATACTTTGTTTTTATTTCAGGAATATTTTGATTTTATTTCAGGAATATTTTGTATTTAATTCCCAATCCCAGCCCTGCATTACCTGGCTTTGCACTGGGATTGGGTTTTCTGGTGGAAACCACCCTGAGCCCATTGTGGGAATATTTTGTTTAATTTTAGGAACATTTTGCTTTTATTTCAGGAATATTTTGATTTTATTTCAGGAAATTTTTTGTTTTCATTTCAGGAAATTTTTTGTTTTTATTTTAGGAATATATTTGGTTTTTATTTGAGGAATATCCTGGTTTTATTTGAGGAATATTTTGCTTTTATTTTAGGAATACTTTGCTTTTATTTCAGGAATATTTTGCTTTTATTTTACGACTACTTTGTTTTTATTTCAGGAATATTTTGGTTTTATTTTAGGAATATTTTGATTTTATTTCAGGAATATTTTGCTTTATTTCAGGAATATTTTGTTTTTATTTCAGGAATATTTTGGTTTAATTTTAGGAATAATTTGAGGACTATTTTGGTTTAATTTTAGCAATATTTTGCTTTTATTTTATGAATATTTTGTATTCCAACCCCAGCATTACCTGGTTTTGCACTGGGGTTGGGTTTCCTAGTGGAAACCACCCTCAGCCCATTGTGGGAATATTTTGGTTTTATTTCAGGAATATTTTGATTTTATTTGAGGAATATTTTGCTTTTATTTTAGGAAAATTATGTTTTAATTTTAGGAATTTTTTTGGTTTTATTTTAGGAATATTTTGGTTTTTATTTGAGGAATATTTTGATTTTATTTCAGGAATATTTTGTTTTTATTTGAGGAATATTTTGCTTTTATTTTAGGACTACTTTGGTTTTTTTTTAGGAATATTTTGGTTTTATTTCAGGAATATTTTGGTTTAATTTTAGGAATATTTTGTTATATATTTCAGGAATATTTTGGTTTTATTTTAGGAATATTTTGGTTTTATTTTAGCAATATTTTGCTTTTATTTTATGAATATTTTGTATTCCACCCTCAGCATTACCTGGTTTTGCACTGGGATTTGCTTTCCTGGTGGAAATCACCCTGAGCCCGTTGTGGGAATATTTTGATTTTATTTCAGGAATATTTCGGTTTTATTTTAGGACTACTTTGTTTTTATTTTAGAAATATTTTGTTTTTAGTTTAGGAATATTTTGCTTTTATTTCAGGAATATTTTGGTTTTATTTGAGGAATATTTTGTTTTAATTTTAGGAATATTTTGGTTTTATTTGAGGAATATTTTGCTTTTATTTCAGGAATATTTTGCTTTTATTTCAGGAATATTTTGGTTTTATTTGAGGAATATTTTGTTTTAATTTTAGGAATATTTTG